TCCAACTGCTGAGGAATATCTCTAAGTTCATAACATAGAATCTCCTGACGAAAGGACGCCTTTGACTCCCATTTTAAAACATGGCTCCAATCGAAGTAATTAGATTTCTTCAGGAACTCTATTTGTTACTTTTAATTTCATTCAAGCATCAAAATTAGGAGCCAACATTTAGTTAAACACTTTTGTTTATTTAGAGATTCCTTTTACTTTACTTGTTTAATAATCTAGGTTGCTTCTTTGATTTGGCATTTGATCGCCTACGATTTTGTTTCATCGATTAGTCTTCTATGATTCTGTTTCATTATTTCAATACTACAAATAAAACTTCTAATGTTGGTCGCGAAGTGCATTTAACCTTGATCACAAAGCCAAGGTAATGAACGACGACATGAAAAACAATCTCTTTTCACCTCGATGTTTTAAAAACCGAGGTTAGAAATTAATGAGTCGTGTGTTCGATTCCCAGCATCAGCATTTTTATAATTTTCAGAACTAGATAGCGCACCCAATAATAAAACTCGGTGTTATGTAGAACCGAGGTACTATCTCAATGTTATTACCTCGGTTTTCACTTGTAATACAGAACCATATTCCTGAATATATAGAACCATATTTCACCTTTAATACAGAACCATATTCCTGAATATATAGAAAAACATTTGAAACTAATTAGGTCAATCAACAACAACTTTAAATATATAGTACAATAATTTAAGAGGAGTAAAATGATTAATTATAAATTTCAAAGGTATATAAAACATGTACTTACTAGTTTAGTCATATGCCCCCTTCATGACCAGGACGAATAACATGCACATCATCTGAATCATTTTCTTCAGATGCTTGATTTTCATCAGTACTATCAGGAAGATGTTTACCTTGAAGAATAATTGACAATCTAGTGTTAGAAGGATCAGTGACATAAAAAACTTGTTTAGAAACGAAAATTTACATATAGAAAGATATGCACTCCAAGTAATTACATTAAACTTAGGCATACATGACAACCATTTGCAAAGATTTGTCATTCAAGAAACAAGAATTCTGATAAAAAAAAATAAGAACAACCTTTTCTCTTCCCAAAAGAGAGAAACAACTATAATAATTGAAATTTTTCTTCATTTCTCAAGACGGTCACAAGTCATCTTAACCTCTTCTATAAATGCACACTTTCATATAATGAATTTCCTCATCTTCAACCTATTCTTCTTAACTTCCTATAGCAACATGAGTTCTCCATATAAGAAGACTAAGAGAATTATCTCAGTAGAAGTCACTGTTGGGAACAAAGCCATCACCACAACATAACACCATCAACAATCAACTGAGGAGGTCCAACCATCTGAGTCGACTGATGTCAGGGATGCACTGAGGGTGAGAAAGGCCAAGAAGAAGAGGAGAAAGGTGCCAAGGAAGATTGTTTATTATGACTTCGATGAGGGTAGTGAGGAGCGAGTCGTAGATTGAGAAGATTCCTGTAGTGCCAGAGAATATTGTTACGATCTGGAAAAAATCATGTAATGAAAATTTTATGTAATAATATTATACTCTTTCCTTTTGATCAATGAAAAAATAAAAACAAAAAAAATAGTACACAACCAAAAAAAATAAATCTTCTCAACAACAACAACAAAAACAATAAAAACATCAACAATAATGAAGAATAACAATAGCAACATTAATGAACTAAAGCAACAACAAGAACAATAACAATAATAACATACCGGAGAATAATGGTGAGAGAGTTTTTTCATTCGCTATGCCTCCTTGGAGAATAAATGTTCTTCTGTTTACTGGAGAAGAAGTGTTTTTTCGTTAGGGATCGATAAGTGAATGAGGTAGACACCGAGTGATAAAAATATAAAAAGAATAATAAGAACAACATTAATAAACCAAAGCAACAACAAGAGCAATAACATAACAGAGAATAATAGTGAGATAGTTTTTTCGTTTGCTATGTCTCCTTCGAGAATAAGTGTTCTTTTGTTGGCTGGAGATGAAGTGTTCTCTCGCTAGGGCTCTAGAAGTGAATAAGGTAGAAACATAGGGAATAAATGCACCTTTTTGGTTTCAAAAATAAATAAAAAAATAGACAGTTTTTATCTCGGTTTTCATGAAAACCGAGGTAACATATCCAACATAAGAACTATGAAAATTAAAGGCGCCTTTTTGGTTCCATATAAAACATAAAACTGCAAGGAGCTGGGAATCAAATCTCAAACCTAAGCATATATTTATGTCAGTTTTGCATAAAATTGAGGTAACAGAATGATTGTATTTTATTTTTAAAAAAAAACAGGCGCTCCCGTTACATACACCCTCGGTTTTATATTGTTCATGGTGAAAGCTTCATCATAAAAGTTGTTATTTGTTGTAGTGTTTATCCATCTACGATTTTGTTTAATCATTTTTTCTTTCATGATTTTATGTCAATATTTACTCTCTTATGATTTTGTTTCATCGTTTTGTCCTCCATGATTTTATTTCATCATTTATCCACCATGCGTTAGGGATTAGAGTGTACTTTGACGTCTATTAGGAACTCTGATAGGCCAAAGGATGGTTCTCCCTTCCCTGACCCCAAGTGAAGACTTGGTTCGAGGTTGACGTATCCATGACTTCATCACTTGCTTTATAGAGTTTCGAACTACCAAGAGGATGGTGTATTGGCTATGGCTTTGAGTGCCAAATTCGTCTTTGATCCTGCTTTTATGTAAGAAAAAATCATATATAGTTCAATACAGATCATTTGAGCTTGGCAGCATTCCATGTCCTAGGTATTAGTTCCCTGGTCAAGGTTTCTAGGGTGTATGTTATGTTCTTGGTACTAGATTTTATCATGCATGTTCCTTCTCAATTTGATTCAAACTTTCCATCTCGAATATTCTTCTGTTAAGCATCAACACACTTTAGTATAAGGTCTTTGTGTTGTATTTCCCAAGGTCAGACTTGTTTGTTGTATCTGGTGTTGCTCACTTGTTTCACCACAACACTAATGAGGGAGGAAAAATGCTCTTCTTTATTCTAAAAGATCAGCTTTCTCCCTGATTACCTAAATGTTGTCTTCTTCTAGAAAAAGGATGCATCGTCCTCTAGATAAGCTCCTTTTTTTTCAACAGGAATGACCATTTCAGTTTCATAAGTGAGTCAAAAGTGTGTTTCATCTGTTGCCGAGTACTATGTTCTCTAATATGCCCAAAAGACACGTGGGAGATCATCTTCCTAATTTCCCTAGTTTTTCTTCAATCCTCAACACAAAACTCGATTTTCTACTCTAGCTTGCCCATTCCTCTAAGGATACTCCAATGAAGTGAAGTGTTGCTTGACTTTAAAGTCCTCCAGTAGTTATCTTAAATTTTTATCCGCTGAAGTGAACTGTAGTGTTACAATGGATATATGGATTTCATACATGGCCAAGACGTTCTTATTGATGAACTTCATAATGTTGGAAACGATAATCTTTTCTAAAGCCTTTGCTTCAATCCACTTGGTGAAATAATCAACTGTCACGATTAGAAAGTTATGTTGTCTTAGTGCTATGGGAAAAGGGTCGAGGATGTCCATACCCCATTGCAAAAAAGGCTAAGGTGATGTCAACATATCTAACTTGGATGAAGGGGCGTTGTAGCCATCCCCGTGCTTCTGGCACCACTCACATTTCTTCACATACTCCTTAGCGACCTAGATCATAGATGACCAATAGTATCTGACTCCAAGGACATTCTTGCTCAGCTCAAAACCGCAGCTTCCACCTTGACATGGCTCAGGTGTCGAGATGTTGATTGGCTATCCCTTCATGTACTTCATCGAGAATGTAGGCGACTTCTTCCCTTTCTAGAAATTTTAACATAGCGGCCGATAACTTCTCCTATATAAGGTATCTTCTATCATAGAGTACGATTTGGCTCTCTTCTTCACCAGGGAGGTTTCGGCTATGTCAGAGGGAAGTTTTCTCTACTCAATAAACTTTACAATATGCAATATCCAAGAGGGTTGTGAGACATCTTCTATGACCAACACCGCTAATCCTGAAACTTTGATGTCCCCTCAGCGTCTCCTAGATGAAGTAATGATTTACTCCATAGAATAGAGGATATGGTACTAGAAAGTTTGGAAAGGACAACTGCTTTACTATTGTGCTCTCTTGGGACATGCAAGATTTCAAAAGACCTGAACTTCTATAATCTTTCTTTGGTCAAGGCGACACATCGCTGTAACGAGTCTTTAGTATGAGCTTCCCTTTTGACTTGAGACACCATGAGATGGAAATTTGTCCAGAATCTAATGTTTTCCGCCCCCATCTCAGCGGCAAATGAGAGGCCGGCGATGACAATTTTGTATTCGGCCTAATTTTTTATGGTTGGGAATTTGAAGCACAAAGATACCTCAATTACTTGCTCGAATTCATTTTCCCGAATGAGACCATCTGTGTCTCCGGAGTGTTAATGATCCATCCATGAATTAGGTCGGAAATTCGACTCATAATGAAAAAAATGAATCATTTGTCACAAGTATAATTACTAAACAAAAAGTTCCACCAAAAACAAATAGAATCATTTGCCAAAACTCATAGATAATGTGATTGCTATTATATTCTCAAAATTCAATCTTAAATCAATTGCATTCTCAATACAAACAGAACATCACAAACATAACCAGCAAAAAAAAACAAACCAAAAACTCAAATCAAAAGCATTACATATAGAAGCAATGTCCAGTGCAGAACGAAACAAAAGGTGCAACAGCATAGAAAGTCACAGGTAAACAAATAGCTGCATAAATTATGGCTAAGCAGAAAAAAATGTCCAGTGCAGAACGAAACAAACATAGAAGCAATGGACACAAAGAGAACTCAACCAAATAAGAAGTTTCGGTGGCAAATCGCGACGAAAATCCTTGGCCTGTTTTCGCGAAGTGAGAATAGAAAGAAACATGATGAGTCTGGCGACAGAGAAACGAAGACCGATAGGTGAAGAAATAGCAAAGACATCGAATGCAAGTTAAACGATGTTATCAGATTCTAGTACATAATCTTCAAACCCTCTGACTCCACCTGAAATCAGACAGCTCAAATTAACCCTTAAAAAGGTCTTAACAGTTAATTTGAGATCGAACTTCGCAAAACTGAAATCCCGATAGAACTACATGTATACCTTGGGTTACATTATACATGTCAGGATCAAGTTCTATATCCGTTGGTCGTCCTCCACATCCCGTGAATGCTGCGTAAGGTCTTTTCATTAAAGCCTTCAAAAGCTGACTACTCCATTGATGCTTCTTTTTCACATTCTTTATGTCCTTTAACTCTTATAAAAGAAACATTAATCGTAACATGATCAATTCGTAAGTTAATCGTGTTAAATTACTTTCACTAATGTGAACAAGATAACATACCTACTCCTGATAGGCCAAGAATATGTACATACGCAGACTTGAAAAATTGATGAAATGTTACATAATTTGGTGGCAAATACTCAACAGAATACTTATCTGATCCAAGCCGATTTGGAGGATCTTCCGGGTCGAGCTGTTTCTTTTTCCCAATCTTTTTTCCTAGTAAATTCAAAACAACAAAGATGTTTTTGCAATTATCTCCATTCAAATATCTAAGATAATGTATAGCAAAAAACGGACTAATGGCATGAAAATCCATATATCACATACCAAATATTGTTGCACCTAACCATATAGAAACAAAATCATATAAAGCTGTATAGTTCGTTGGAAACTTCGTCTTATTACAATCCGGACGATCCTCCATCTTTCTCAAATTCCATCTCATTGTTCTCTCCGCATCGACTGGTTCCACTAGTGTACCTAATTTTGTAACAGACAAAAATTCAAACTCAACATATTCTATAGTACATTTCAATCATATATAATATCAATGTATTACAACTTACAGTGGTATAGGATTCGCTTATACAACGGAAGGGTGCCAGCACTTTTGAACGCGGAAGGCCTAGTTGCAAGAACTTTGAGAGGAGTTGAATTCTCTTTGTTCAAATGCGTGCTTAGAAAATCGTAGTAATATACTATTATCACAGCTAAATCTATTTTATCAGAAGTAACAAAATTTATTAGTTTCTTTAGCGCGCGAAAATAACACTAAAAAGGATCAGAAAGAGTATAATTTACCAAAATATTCTCCTCGGATAGCGGTGTGAAGAATACTATCACCATCATCTCGAACAAGATCTTGCAAAGTGACTATATCTTTAGAAATCTGAGCAAGATAAGCAAAAGTTTGTTTTCTCCAATTTACAGCAGCTTGAAAAAGAGGTGTTTCGCCGTGTCTATTTGTACGCCTCAACAAATATATCCTCTCATTATTTCCTCCAATAATATACTTACATAATCTAGCAAAACCTCTCGATGCTGCAAAATGCAACGGGGTGTCACCGCGTTCATTCTCCATTTCCAAAGCTTCAACTCTCTCACTCTGACTCTGATCACTAACTTCGATATGGTACGTCAAAATTGCATTCACAAGCTCTTTAACCACGATTTCTTCGTATAAATCTATAGCTACATGTAATGCAGTACAGTCTAAAACAGAGATAATTGCTGTATGAGCTTGTTGGGGGAATTCGTAGTATAACATTATAACATTTTCCCATAACCCTGCCCGTGTGTATTCGCCGACAAAATCATTAACTTCATCTGGTGAAATGTAGAGTAATATGTTGTCACTGTCACCATACGATGCCATAATGGCAAAAATTAAGATTTTATGAAATGTGCTATAACTGAATTAGTAGTGTTACAAAAACAATGTTTACAATGTTGCTATATAAGGAAGAATTAATATGATACTTGAATAAAAAAACATCTCATGTGGACCATGTGATGTAACTTTATTAAGATGACAAGGGAAGTATAAATTCAGAGTGAAGATTAATATAAGATATCTCTTGAAGAGTATAGATATTATAGATGACAAGTGAAAGAATAAAGAAAAAAGAAAAAGAAAACTTTTACTTGGCTTGTTAATTTCAATTATCATGTTCTATTGTTTCTTTTTATAAACTACTATTGATTTGTTGTTGTTGTTACATTTTTCTATCTTTTTTACTGTGTGTCTTATTATTGATGTTGTTACTAATAAGATATTTGTGCTCCCGCATAGATAAAATTATTTGATATGATATAAAATATATTTAAATGAATATATAAATTTGGCATGATATAAAGTCTATTTATTTACTATCTAAATTTGAAATTAACATGAATTACTTCCAAACTGAAATCTCATTCCATGGCCCATATCGTCTGCTATGTGGGATGTGCTTCTGAAATGCTAGTTGTGGCTCATCCTCATGGTTCATTTGTAAGCTTTGGTCAAAAATCTTATATGGTCTTTACAGCACCTAAACAAAACATGCTAAACTTGATCTCCATATCCCTTATTCTTTAGCCCTCTTTTTGATAAGTTGGTTGAGATTTCTATCCCATCTTGACCTAACTGCATAACCCATAAAAAATAAAAAAGGAAAGGAGAGGGAAGTATGTTGCTCCATTGAGTTGATATCTAGTTTTTATTTAAATATCAGCGCAGCGCAGTGAGTTACGTGAGCAATGTCTTTTTTTTTTTCCAATAATTAGCGACAGTTTTTAACCGTCACTAATGAACATTAAATTTTTAGTAAAAACATCACAAATTAAACAGTAATATTTAATGACAGTTAAAAATCGTCACTAAATTTTTTTAACAACGGTAAAAAAAACATCACAAAATAAATAGTAACATTAGTGACGGTTAAAATTTATTGCTAAATTTTTTTAACAACGGTAAAAAGCGTCACAAAATAAACAGTAACATTTAGTAATGGTTAAAAATCGTCGCTAATTATTGAAAATGAAAAAGAAAAGACATCGCTCACGTGAGAAACCTATTGAGGTCTCTCATCTTATCCTGAGCCTTAAGTATGAGTTTTATGTTTTTTAAACAACTTTGAACTATATTTGATGGGTCAGCTAATTGTCAAACAATCAACACTCTTCACTTGTTTTCTTTTGGATTTTGTCATTGGAGACAAGATTGTCAAAATCACGATTTAAAATTTAAATTTTATAGATAAAAACGTTTTTATATAAAATTATATCCTGAGACGATTTTATAAGATTTAAGTCGCTCTGTGTAAAATTGTTCAATTTTACTCTTTAACCCAATTTTACCCTTTCCCTGTCTCATTTTAAAAAGTCCATTTTATATTTTGCTCCATGAAAATTTCTCCCACGTTATTTATTTATTTATTCGCATTAAATGACTTCTACACGCTTTGTTGATATTGGATTTGATGATGAATTTCTAACTACCTTAGATGGACTTGTTAATAATAATGATGAGAATGTATAACAACTTATTAATGTTGAAGTTTGTGCAGGTTGTGAAACTGCTGGTTTAAGCAATCTTCCGGCTCCACCTTCAAATAATTGTCTTTGGTTCTAATATTAAAAAATAGGCAAAATATTCATTTTGGTCTCTTAACTATACAATTGGATTCAGATTGGTCCCTTAATTATTTTTTGTGTCAGATTGGTCTCTTAACTCTTTAAAACGTGTCATGTTAGTCCTTTTTGTCTAATTAGTGACGAGTTTAGTGATCGATTTTTAAATTTTTTCCGTCGCTAATTAGATGAAAATGACTAACATGATACATTTTAAAGAGTTAAGAGACCAATCTGACACAAAAAATGATTAAGAGGCTAATTTAAACTTAAGGGTATAATTAAGGGAACAAAAAGACTATTTTGCCTAAAAAATATTTATCGTCTAGAGATGAATTTGATCAAGTTGAAGATAAAGATAATAACGTAAATGATGATGTAGAAGGATATAATTTTCTATTAAGTTAAAGATGAAGATGAAAACACTTTTTTTTTTGCACTTGAGAAACTTATAACTTATTTTTTTTGATAATCTTTTAGATGTTGTTTTTTATGATTTGGTGGATAATTTATGTAGTTTAATACAAATTTATGAATATTACACATTTAATATATTTTTGCTTTATATTAAGCTAAAATTTTAAATTATTGACGTATTTACAATATTATATAAGTATATATATGTCGCGTATATTATTTTAATATGAAGTAAATTCTACGATTTTACATTTCAATTTTATTTAAATAAAACGAGTCAAGATAAAAGTTTGATTATGACAATTTTAATTGAAAGGACAACCCGCCCGCCTATCTATGGTTGAGTGTAATAGAGATTGACTTCGTTAATTAAGATAGAATGAAGTTGGTTTTAATTTAAAGTTTGCTAAAGAGTTTTTTAAGGTCTTCTTTGATTGTTGTAACTTTCCTTTAGTTGTTGTAACTAAGTACTTGGGACCATGATCTATAAAAGTGGGCTTGTAACTCAATTTGAAATTAAGAATGAAAATTGGAAATTAATATCCATTATGGTATCAATTAGGGTGTATATGAGTCGGGTAAATCAAATAAATCCGGTACGTACTCAAATAAATCTAAAAAAAATGGGTTGAGATACGGTTCTTAAAAATAAAAAATCATTTAAAATAATTGAGTTATAGGTAAACCCACACCCAACCCACAAACTTATGGGGTATTGAGTGACTTTTTTTATAAAAAAAATTGATAAGGGATGAATTTAATATCTTTAATCTTGACTGCAAACTTTGATTTTTCTAAATATATTTATGATGAATTTTATGGTGCATTTATACATTTGATTTTTAACAAAATATCGGTAATAGGTTAAACTACTTACTAAGAAAAAATGTGACATATAATTTATATTTGGTTAAAGTACTATTATTATTATAATAATAGTAATTACTATTATTGGATAGAAATTATTATTATTATTATTTTAATTTGTTGGAATTAGTAATAATAATAATATTATATAAAAGAAGAGGAAAGAGGTTTTGGGAGAAAAACTGATAGATCCATGAAATTGGAAGAAAAGTTTAGAGAAAGTGAGAAAAAGGCCAGTGCTCAAGGAAGAGGAAGAGAATCTGTTATTTAAGAGTTTTTTTGAAAGAAATCAAAGGTAATGGTGGGATTTCTATTATATAAGGATTTGTACGATGATTGTGGGTGAGTTATGTCTATGCATGATTGTTTTTCTCTTCTCTCTATGTTTATTGTGAAAATCAGTTTCTCCATTAAAGAACAAGAAATGCATAACATAAAATGCAGAATGAAGGAGAAAGAAGTTTTCAGGGAAAAGAAATAATAGTTTGTTATTGACGTACACACGTGATAACCATGTCCATATATAGTATATGGTTATCTTTTAACTACCAATCAAAAATAACTAACAAACTGAAGCTAACAAGTGTCCACAAATTATCCACACAACTCTATTAAGACTATAAACTATATTATATTCTCAACAGCCCCTCTCAAGCTAAGCATGGTGAATGTTGATCATGCCAAGCTTGGAAATGAATTTATTGAAGGTTGAAGTGGATAAAGCTTTGGTTAGGAAATCAGCTAGTTGTTCATGAGTTGAAATTGGTAGAAGCCGTAGTAAGCCTTGCTGCAATTCAGCATCTCTTCGAAACAAAATTCCTCTACCAGGACTGTTTTTCAGATATCGTATGACTTTGCAAGCAGCATGATAATGTGCCATTGTTGGATTGTGAAGAAATTGACTGAGTTGTTGAGTGGCATACATAATGTCAGGACGTGTTGTGTTGAGGTATATTAATCGACCTATCAAGCGCCTATAAGTTCCAGTGTCATCAAAAGCTTTGCCATTATCAGCATGTAGTTTGACAGATGGATCGAGAGGTGTGGGAGCTGGTTTAGATCCAAGCATACCAGATTCTTGCAAGAGGTCAAGGCAGTATTTTCGTTGAGATAAAGAGATACCTGTCTTCGAGTGAGCAACTTCGAAGCCAACAAAGTACTTCAATGTTCCCAAGTCTTTGATACTGAATGTTTCATCAAGGATGTGCTTGATGCGATCAAATTCAGACATAGAATTGCCGGCTAAGATTATGTCATCGACATAAAATAAAATGGTTGTGAAATGTATGTCAGTTTTCAAAGTAAACAAGGAATAATCAGAAGCAGATTGAATGTACCCTTGATGCAACAGAAGAGAAGTCAGTTTTTCATACCATTTGCGACTTGCTTGCTTCAGACCATATAAGCTCTTTTGAAGTTTACATACTTGATTAGGTTTGTGGCATGTAACACCTTCAGGTATTGTCATGTACACATCTTCTTTCAATTCCCCGTGTAAGAATGCGTTGTTGACATCAAGTTGGTGTAAGAACCAATTACTGATAGCTACAGTCGCAAGGAGGGTTCTAACAGTTGTAAGCTTCACTACTGGTGAAAACGTGTCAAAAAAATCCAGTCCCTCGATTTGATTGTAACCTTTGGCCACAAGCCGCGCTTTATACCTCTCTATCATACCATCTGCTCTATGTTTCACTTTGAACACCCATCTGTTACCAATTGACTTGACATGTGGTGGCAAATCAACTATGTTCCAAGTCTTATTCTTGTCTAATGCATCTAATTCAGACTTCATCGCTTTAATCCAATGTTCAGATAAGCATGCTTCTTTGTAATTCTTTGGTTCATGAATGAGAGAGATATTTGATGCAAAGACACGATGGGATGCAGATAAAAAATTCAATGAATCATAATTTGAAATTGGATAAATAACTTTGGATGTACCTGATGATGACTTGACTGCTGAAGCATCAGATATAT